CTACTTTCCCGCTCTTGATTTGTCTGATGACCGGCCATTCTGATTTCTTCGGTCGTTGGTGGGTTGAAGTCTATGGGAAGATCTTTGTGTGCCGCTTCGATGTCCGGTGGATTCTTTGGAGCCGGCCTATTCAGGAGTCCCTCGAAGTATTCTACCCATCCGTTACGCTGTTGTTGAATTTCAGTGATTGGCTTGCCTTCTTTGTCTTTGACCGGTCTCTTTGGTTTACTGTATTTCCCTGCTATTTTCTTCGTTGGATCGTAAAGCTGTTTCATATTTCCTTCCCTTGCAGCTTTTTCCGCCGTCGTTGCTAGTTCTTCCACGTATTTCTTCTTGTCGGTTCTAATGCTCTTCTTCACTTGCTTGTTTGCTTCTATGTATTCAGCTTGTGCTTGGACTTTCTCTGCTCGTGTTCGGCTGTTGTTAATTGCTGCCTTCTTGTTCTTCCCTTCTTTGATCTTGTCCAGTGTTTCTATGGAGGTCCACTCCTTATGATGGTGTTTATTTATGCCCAGAACCTCTTGACACGTTGAAGTTAATGCTTCCTTGATGCCTTACCAGTTGTCCTCCATAGTAGTTTCTTCTTCCTTCAGTAGATCTTGTAAGGCTTGGAACCTGTTGTTGAGAGCTATCTTGAATTCGTTGATTTTGTTAGTATCTCGAAGGAAGGCTGTATTGAACCTTTGTATTGCTGTTTGTCCACTTGTCCAGTTCTTTTTTAGCTTCAGTTTTAAATTGGTTACAACTAGGTGGTGATCTGAAGCTACGTCAGCACCTCTACTGCTTCTCACATCTTCCATTGTCCTTCGGAATTTTTTATTGATGCAAATATGATCTATTTGGTTCTCTGTAGTGTGGTCCGGTGAGATCCATGTAGCCTTGTGTATACGTTTGTGTGGTAGTATTGTGCCACCTATGACCAATTTGTTGAGTGTACATAAGTTTGCAAATCTTTTCCCATTTTCGTTTCTGTCTCGCAGTCCATGTCGTCCCATTATATCTTCATATCCGGTGTTGTCTATTCCGACTTTGGCGTTTAGATCTCCCATCAGAATGGTGAGGTCCTTTCTTGAGCACTTCTCTATGATTGATACCTATTCTACATAAATAACATAAATTTTGTTTGATTTACCATTGTAATCTGATTATTTCTAAATGAAATTCACGACCCTTTCTTTCACTGTACAAAAAAACTTACCTAACTGACGACAGGATATGTGAAGAAATCCTTGGAATGCGCATTCCCTGTGACTGATTCTAAAAAACTTCAAAACATTTGATAAATACTTATGTGCTTCACATTGTGCCATCGTAGGCCTGAGCTTCAATAAAACTGCTGTTTTCTCAGTTTTAGTGGAACACAGTGTAGTCGATTTGTGAATGTTTTAGGTCATTGTGTTAAGTTGTAAAATGTAGAACAACATCTATAAGCGAACAGCATTGTTTTCGATTAGATCCTCATCAGGCTTTACTCTATTATACAGCAATATTTATATGCATATATGAAATTATTAAACCAATCAAGGAAGTTTATGTGTCAATGATAACAGTGGAATAGATTACATAAATAAACATAATAATTGAAAAGTACAAATTGGTAATGTGATGACAGGTGTACTAATTGTGATAAGAATAATAAAGGCTTGAATGAGTGTTACGTAATGGGAAATGATTAGAAAAGTATAGACACTGAAATAACATTCATAAAAATGATAAAATTACGTAATAAGAAGTGTTCAGATAATTGGACCGTGAAGTGTATTTTTGGGAAAAGGGTGGGAGGGGGCGAAGAAAAATAAACGAAGAAAGAGGATAGAAAGTAATAATAAATAAAATCACTTATTAAGGCCAAGGGAGAGATAAAGATGTTACAAATTCCTGGTGAACACAAAGACTTGGATTGTTGGCTCGAATTCCGATAGCTTCTTCTATGTGTAAGAGACGAAGTCGAACCCCATAAGGAAAACTAATAGGAATACGATAAATAACTTTAAATGACTTATTTCTGTCTACGACATGATCACTATCGATCACGTGTAATAGAACCCAACTGCGTATTGTCTTGACAGTACCTTTTCCTAACCGCGAAGTGAGGTGTTCACTAACTCTGTCTCAGTTGTCTGGTAGTGCACCCAATATAGCTTTCTCCACAGGAGCAGCTGGAATCATAGATACACATAGAAATGGTATAACCAAGTAACTTATCCTTTAGTTGAGGAACCACCGTATATCGGGTCGAGTACGATAGACAGAAGTTGGTTGCATTAGATGTTCTCTTCACTGCTCTAGTCAGTCTATCACGTAGCATATCATCAGCTACATCTCCATTGGATTGCAGCTTCAGGAAAAAAGGCTTCTTAATAGCCGTTGATGTCGCTATTTTCTTGTTTGTTACATGTAAGTGTTTCTTGAGGAAACCTTGTGGATAACCCATTTCAATCAATATATTATGTATGAGCTCTAATTCCTTGTTTATTGTATCTACTGAGCATATCTTCCTAGCTCTATTTGCAAGACATTTGACTAGGTTTCTCTTATAATAAAGGGGTCAGTCAGTCAGTCAGTCAGTCAGTCAGTCAGTAACAACGTAGAACTTCGTACGTACGTACATCAGTTCGAGTTGCCACACCACATTAGCACAGAGATGCACTTGTCGATTCAAATCCCGTAGTGGTAGAGGTAATAAGAGTATAAGCAGTAATCGGGAAGATTAGGGTTTGGGGATAATATTCAAAGAGTATAATCAAGTGAAATAAATTTGGAAAGAGGAAAAAAGGGACATGAAGAATTCAGATTAGAATTTGGGAGAACACAGAGAGTGGATGCACCTGCGCCATTGCAAACGATTTTGAGCCATGTCATTCAGGGTCTCTAACCCTCGGTTGCTATCATCTCGCGGTCCCCAACCAGGTAGTCTACACCTACCAACATGACTCAGTCCACTTGTTAGTGACTTCATGGACTTGTGCCATGTTTTGGTTTGGCCGCCCCTAGCTTTCTTCCAACCTACTCCTATACCACTGATAACAAATCCACTTACCTTATAAGTAGAGATGGGTGGTGGCTAGCAGTGAAATCCAGGACGCGCGTCTCGTCACATTCAGGACTCATCAGCTGGATGTACCCGCATCCCAGAGTTGATGTTCACTCCAGGACTCGAACCCAGTACTGTTATTCACTTAGCTATTGCGTCCAGATAGTCACAAGCTAGTGCAAAGGGGTAAAAATTACTGTATTTTTGTATTGATTGTTCAACAATCGAAATAAATTAATTAACTTACGTTCAATACATATGTTAGGTATGAAGTTTAATTTTTTTCTTTGAAGTCCTATGCAATTCACGATCTCGTTACTTAAACAGTAATATTTTCTGGAGAATTCATATTTTAAAATAACAATGTATTCAGTTGGCTTAGTGATTTCAATGCACATGAGTGGTAACTGAAGTTGGAAGAAAATTTCAGTAGCCATTAATTTAAACTAAATTAATGCTAACTGAAATGGTACATCGCAATAGCCTAAATTTCTAGTAAGAATTATACATAAAGTTATTCAACGAGAACTTATGTTGTGAAATACTTTTTTATGTTGGTGACTTAATTCAGTATCTAGTCAACAAAGTGTACTTCCGAAGGATTTATATTCATTTATAAATTTTGCTAACCAGATATCTATAATTCAAACACTAGACGGTTGTTTAAATGGGATGCGCACATCAAATTAATTCTTTCTGTGAAGCTAGTTTGTTACATTAACTGTATTCAGGTCTTATTCTTACGTGCTGTTAACCGTTACTGAACTTCACTAGTTACTTATTCAAACAGCTTATAATGATTTGGTGTTTTCTGAACAAATCGACTGATGGCCAAAGTTACACTTATATCACAGAAGTACTTTGACACATCGAGGTTTTGTCCGATATTCAGTCCCATAGCCGATAATATTCTTAATTATATCCATTTCAAACAATTAGTCCCTTTGATAAATTTCGATAATGCAATGAGAAGATGTAGTTTATCATTGCATAGTCTATTTCATCCAGTAGCGAATAAGTGAGCAGTTTTATAACTTTATATCAGCATCAGTAGATCAATAATCAAACTCTCGCCTTCATTCTTTCAAGGAAAATTCTGCATATGGAGCAAAGTAACTAAACAGAGCAACAGTTCTTTTAGACTTACTTTCTTAAGATCTTATTAACAAATAGTTAATGGGACTTATACTAAAGCCGCGGTCAAACTATTAATGAGAAAAATAAACAGAAGTAACTCACCTTTCTAAAAATGAAAATGCGGAATAGTGTCAATAAACATTTGTTAGGAGGGTGGTAATAATGAAGAAACATCTCTGCCTTACAAAATAATCCCACATATCTTGTACATTGATATATTTATAGGGCTATTAAAAAAATACTAAGCCGTGTAACAATTCACCTCAGTATGAAATTGTCCCATAAATAGTTGTGGCCAGACACTCATACTGATTATTTGCATATACATACACACACAAGCATAAATGAAGTTGGGTCTGAGTAACAGAAATCTTATTTTTACATAAGTGGTCAATTACAGATTGAATAGGTAAACCAATAGTAAAACAGCAAACTAGTGTATCATTTAGCCTGACTGATAGTACGCTAGACACAAAATAATGACGCGTCACATTACGTAAGTTTTGTAAGCTAGTCAGCAACGCTGCATGACGCGTGTGATGTTGCGCATGTGATCGATTTACTCTCTAGCTATTTTATTGGTTTAATTTGCTACGTCGCTATTGGCAGAAAAATTAAATAGTCATTAGTTGTAAAAGTCAACCCTGTATCGAGTTGACCACTGGGACAATCGCTTCGGCACTAGCAGCTTGTCCAGTTTTCTCGTATTTCCAATGGGCCATGTTATTCTAAGACGCTTATTTTGTTACTATGGCGTTTTGATAAATCCCCATGAGTGAATTGTAGTGCCAATTGGTCTAATGTTCTACTAATTGTAAGGATTAATACGATGACTGAAGTAAACGAAAATTCAGACTCTGGAATTAATTCAGCACCCATCCAGTTGAGTGAAGATGACTGGCTACAACTATTACAGAAGCTTACACCATCTAGTATTGAAAGCTTGCAGCAAACCTTGAAGCGGCTACAAACTGAGCATATCAACACAACAGAAAAGGGAAATACATCAGTACCTTTTGTCAGCTGCTCGCCTTCTGTTCTTGCACCACAGCCTCTTATTAGTCAGGCTCATCCAATTGTTATGTCACTTGGTATGCCCAAAACTCCCATTGCACCAGTGATGGCAATGCCGCATGTTCTAAACATTTCTAAAAATACAGCGAACTCTATCCCAGGAAGGATTGTTCTCCCCTCATCAGCACTTCTTATTGCACCCCCAGCCCATGGACAAGCATACTCTTTAGATTCGTGTTTGCCAGTTGCTGATCTAAGTAGGTTAGTTGTTACTAGTGGATGTTTTCCGAATGTGACTTCCGGTTTGCTTGCAACTACCACTATACCTGAATCCTTCAGTAGTTTAAACACGCTAGCCAATGCAGCGGTTGCTATGGCTGCAAATGCCTCACACGTAAGTCTTGACCAGCTTTATTTCGATTTATTTGTTGTTACGTAACCTTGGGGATATGTAACCATTTACACCTTTTGTGTTTTATTTTAAAATTACTTGCGCCACCACATGCCTTAGTAAAGCAGGGGTCAAATCATTTGTCAATGAACCTTTTTATTACTTCAGTACTCTTGTAATAAAATTCTTTGAACAATCGGTCATGATGGCGGGACTAATTTATGGACGAACTAACGAAATTAAGGGTAGCAAGTCTTGAACTTCGGCTCGAAATTCGGTCGTCCAGATAGTTAAGTAGCACTTTGACATTTAAGCTGATATCACTCGGTGATGAAAACTATTACTTTAATTCCTTACCTTGGATTCTAATTTTAATTCTTCATATTAATTTATAGCTTTTGAACCTGGTTAGTAGATGAGTCGCCTTAAGGTTCCTAGCGTCACTCAAAGGTCGTCCATAATTTATAGGCCCACCGTTATTATTCGTGCATAGTTTCAGAATTTGATCGTAGTCTCACAAATATTAAGTCCCAATTATTGAGACATTAGATGAAGTTTATTTGTAGGATTCTCAACGTCCTGTAAGATTGGAAGTTAATTCATCCTTGTTATTCTGGTGTATTCTGAGAGTAAAGGTATTAACTGGGCTTGGCAGACTGAATGTATATTAGTCATGTCATTTGTTCCCAACTTATCCTCTAATTAAATCAGTTGTTGCGAATCCAAAGATTTAGTCGGGATCTCATCAGTCGACTAGAGGTTACTTCTCACTGATCAACGTATCTTGGCTTTTCGAATTTACTGTCCTGTTAGTTCTGGAGAAACTTATCGATAACCCAAACAGATGAAGTAATTTTTTCTTCTGTCACAATCTCCACCATGTGATTTATTGGCCAAGCTGCAATTTGAGGGCGAGCCAATGATGAACGCTCGAATCGTCTCAAGGTCATATTACGTGCATCAAATAGATATGTTCTCTACGAATGATAAATTGCCAGTTGATTAAATCGCAAGACGTTTTACTCAAAAAAGTCATAACGTATTGAAAACAATCAGAATGCAAAGTATAGGGCCATGATTAGGTTTTGGTTTTGATTGGCATTAGGATGTACAGCCAAAATGATAATCCGTAAACCCCGAACCCTAAATTATAAAGTATCTGTAGACGTTAATTTCGACTCCGAAATCAAAACTGTACATCCTGGTCTTCACATAAAATCATTGACTGCGTATTCTAAATATAAATACTAATCCTAAATCCAAATCATGAATCTCAATAAAAAAATCTCATTCGTATTTGCTGCATTCTGACTGGTTGAATGGATCATCCCGTCAAGGTCATTCACAGGTTCGGGCTCGACTTTATTGCGTTCAGCTTTATCGATTTGGTACTAGTTCCTATCGATTCACGTAGACTGATATTCCAGAGTTATTTTGTAACGCAAACCTAACTCAATAGTATTTAGCTGACTTCTTGATTTGTGCAAAAAAGATAGTTGGGCATTTAAAGTGACGTGGCAAAACACTGATCACATTAATGAACAAGCGCCTAATATCTCTCTACTTCTTCAACCCTTTGATTTTTCTTCCTTTTTCCCGTATAGCACTAGCAGTATTGATATTGTCATCAAGCTTGCATCCTTATTGTTTTGTTGGTTTTTTCTCCTTGGTTGTACTGATGCTCAGTGTAGCATTTTAAACCAATACTTATTCGTGCCGGCTTCTGCATTGCTCGTGTCTATCTGGAAATCAGCGCCGAGTTGTTAACCTGCCTTCGTTATTACCTTTCATGATACTACTTATCCTTTCAAACTTCAGAATAACGTTTGAACCTGATTGCTGAAAACTGGGTTTTTAAACCATCAAACTATATTTAACAAATTTGTGACGGATCAGCTAGGTGTACCAGCATCCCAGAGTTGATGTTCACTTTGGGACTCGAACTCAGTACTATTCACTTCGAACGCCATCGCTCTTTCCACTTAGCAACTAAATCCAGATAGATGGCTTGTACAGTATGGTTAATTTTAATTCACGTATATCCTTTTCTGAATCTCTCCATTGATGTTTGGTACTCCAATTGATCAGTCTTTTTTTGGTATATGTGCATCTTGTGCGGATTACCTTGGTATTGCCACTAAGTTACAAGTATTTTAACCAGAGATGAATCTATACCAAACCACATAAAATTTTAAGTTTGCCTACATCTTATTAATCTATAAGACATTGGTCAGTGTATACTTTTCAGAATTACATAACAATGTGATACTTACAGGGTCAGACTGAATTAGATTGATAGTGTGAATGATAAGCTGATTGGCTAGTAATATTTCGAATTTTTCGGGTGATGGTATATTATCAATTTGGCTGTCTTATGTTTATTTATATGTTTATATAATCTATCGCTGGGATCGGCGACCTGACGTTATTTTCGTTATGGGAACTAAATTTATCTCTAGCAAGGCGTGTTCCGGTCTGTGGTGTTAGATTTGTAAAGGTATATCCTTTAATTATCATAAGATTTAGGAATCCTGTGTTGTTCATCAACTTAGAAAGCAGATTCAGATAAATCAGCCCAATGATGGTTAGATTGTGATACGGACATGTGCTGTACTATTATTGAATCAATGCGCTGACTTGGAAAAATGCAAAATATTAGAAACATTTATCTTTCTTAGTAAACGAACATTTCTAATTTATATGATCAACAGTTATCTTAGAAAAACTGACGTCCCATTATGACAGTCACGAGTAATCTCATCTATTTAGATTGTACTCTGATGAAACATAGTCAACCCAATGGCCAAGACTTCCATCTTCAATCTCACTTATGTCATTTTGGGGAGCACTGTGTACGTAAATAACTTCCCAAATGACATTATGATTGTAATCTAATTTTTATTAGTTTGGAATATACCGTTGTTATTTTGACTGAATTTTGATAAGTCTTAGTTGTCATATATGCATCCTGAGGGAATCGTTTCAATATATCCATTCTATTGAGTTATGGAATGAGAATTAACTCTGAAATTCAAGTACATGCAGCTGTGTTCTAAATGGGACGAAACGTGCATTTTAGGTTCCATTGATAGAATTCCATCTATTTTATGTATGCATTAATATTGGTTCTGTATAACTGCGGGTTAATGGTTCTCTACACTTTTAGGTACTTAAAAATCCGTAGCACTATTAACCAACCTGTAGTAGTTTAATTATCGAACTATTTAAGTGAAATCAGAAGGAACTGAAGCTTTGTTATTTCTCCCGTAAATCTTTAAAACAAAGATACGTGGACGTAGTGTATACTTTTTGACAAATTCTCATCATGTTCAGTTATATGTCCGAAATAGTGATCCTAAGTTCATGTCAAATACTTATTTAAAATTACCACATAGATCGTTAGTAAACTAGAATTGTCAATGTTGCGATGACTAGTGTGCCATGTTAATTTGAGTAATTTAATGCCTGATGTAAATGAATCTTCCATGATAGCATTACGACCCTCCAGAACTAAATGGATTAGTAAAGATCTTTTGAGTCGTAGGTACACTTCCGCTTAATCATGTCGAAAGGTATTTATGAACATAGAAAGGTAAATCCCTATAACACCTTCCGATATTTATATTACACTTAATGTTAGGATTATTAGAAATCAACATGATAATCAAGCCATGATACCAACAGTTGTAGCAAGGAAGATAAATGGATCCGATTTTTCTCCGATCTGCTGGTAGCTGATATAAGTATATTTATTTATTTATTTGTTGATTTAAACACATATTGGTACAAAAGGGCACCAAATATATATGCTCCAGCACCACATCATTCGATGTGTCTGAGGGCTCGGATACTACCCGAACACCCAAACCGAATCAGATGGTTTTCATGGAAGGCCGCCCGCCCCGTCTTTGACCTAGAGGTCTAATCTACAAGTGAGTGGAGCAACACTGGGAGATACAGTCTCATGGTAGCCGGTGACCAACAACAGGTTCCTACGCTATTCGTTCCGTTAGAATTCTGGAGCCCGTGTACACCATTGGTTTGTAATCAGTTTCCCAAATCCCTTAAGTGTTGTCCCCTTTCTATTCACCAAACCGGTTAAAGCGCCGGACATTTGTTTTTCGTCCTCCTGTATTGTAAAGCGGTAGTTTATTGGTTTAAGTACTCGGTTTTTAATCAGTGGGTCACGAGTTCGAACCTCTTTCTGCATCAATTTGGACATCTGGATAGATTCGTTGTGTCCGAAATCCTACTACATGAGATTTCTAGTTTTGTTAATGAGTCAAATTAAATTACTCTATTAGACTATTTAACTCAACTAATTCTACGTATTCAAACGATAGCACCCAGATATTGGAAATAGTTTATCGGGTGGGTGTTAAGTCCAACTTATTGAACTGTTAAACTTAAGTTATACACAATCGTCCTATGAATCAAACTGAGTGCGTGTTGCTGTAGAATTTAAATAAATGAAATCTTGGAGACAGCGTAATGGGTTAGAATTCTGCGGAAACCAATACTTCCTTTCAACCTCATCTCTATATTTTCTACTAAAATTAGAACCATTAGGTATCAGTCGATTTGCCGTAACGATGCAGTCGCTCAGAAAACAGCTTTTTTCGCTGTGACGCAAGAGTAACGAGGTCATACTATCTAATTTTTAAGGAATGTGTTATTGACTAGTACACTTGATCTCCATTTAGATATTGTTACAATGTATCTAAATTTATCTATTGTTATCTAAAATTTTTCTTACCAATTTTTTCGTCGCAGCTTTAAAAAATTACCTAATCAACCATTGATTTTTAGATGTATCTTGCTGTTTTGATGACCTTTTAGGCTATAATTTAATTGTCTGATTTAATCAAGTCATATTACTTTATGTTCACAGTTATTTAAAGAATGAATGGTTTAAGAATCATTTTTATATTATACACATTTCAGTGATTCGAGATGTTTTCTATTACTGTTAATTAATGTAATCATTTATCTGTAAACCATCG